TTTTGCTAGTGCAACTGTGTCTCAGCCCATTATTTTTCAAAAATGTAAAAGATCTTTCCTACCCAATGTTATAAATATGTTGTGGACCCCCTCCTTCTCTATTTATCAAAATAAACTTACAGCAAACCCATTCAGAGAGTGAATCACTGAGATTTAGGTACGCGTGCACCCACATTGTAAAAGGACCTAAGGCTGAGGAATAAGCAGCCCACAGAATGTCAGCATTTTTCTTTCATTTTCTTTTCAAATCTCAATTTACTACTGCTTGTCAAAAGACAAGGCAGAAAACAAAAACAAAAGAGCAAAAGAAGAAATTATTTAACCTCCAGGGGGCATATGGGACTTATGGGAAGTACACTAGGATGCAAAGGAAAGGTTGCGCCATGAGAAATTAAGCTTTCTTAAGTGATCTGTATGAGAAATATGCAGGTCCTGGAGGTAACAGTGCTATGCAGTAAACTTGAAGCAGTGAACTGAGAACTTGGAAGTTAGGGGAAACTGGTGTGTAGGGGAAGATTACATCTTCAAGAGGTTCTATTAAGACAAATACGGATCATAAGGAGTCACAAGAAAAACAACAAAAATCAGTGTTGTCTGAGGAAACAAAAGCATAAGAGAAGCTCAAGGAGTTACCATTTGGACCTGAGTTGGCACAGGTAGGACAGAACCAAGAAGTCTTACAAAACCAATCCATAAGCAACAGTTCCTGCGTAATTCATACTCAGTGTATTAATTATCACTAATATTATTAATTATCACTAATATTTTATGTTAACATGTCACTCAGACAAAAACATACACCTGCTCAGCCCTCCCAGCTACAGGCAGTGGCAGAACTTCCAGCAGGAAGAATCTTAATCCACTCTAATAATAAACCAGGTAATGTAGCTATTTAAAAATTGGCAAATGTTAGTATGGACAGAACTGGCTATAATGTTCACATATTACTTGGTTAAGTAAAGAACTAAAATACTTGGCTAACATATTAAAGCTACAGTTTCCTTTGCCACATAATATTATTGTATTAATGACCATTAGAGTCTTCCTTATTTTATATGTACTTCAAGTGTCTTAGGAGTACAGGTTACTTTTTAAAAGGTGTTTATTTATACAACAATTCTGTTTTTTTTTCCTCTGAGTACTTTTCTTGCTATTAGCCAGATTTCCTAAGGAAATGGTCAGCGAGGTATTAATGTCTCTCTGTAAATTTCTCCTACCACTGTTTCTCAGAGCAAGTTTTGTGCCACTAATTCAGTGCTACTACCAAATGCCTACGGTCAGTCTATGTCCTAGACATACAGTAAGAAACCCTGGCTGGATAGTGGGGATAACAAATTGAAATTAAGGCTGAAGATGACAGGTTGACAATTGGACTACTAGATCTCAGTGTTTTTTTCCCACCTTGATGATTTTGTGGTTCAAAGACAATACAGGGGAGAAAGATGAGCCTTCAGGTGAGCCATTTGGCACTGCTTTACTGGAGAACTACGAGTATGAGGCAGGGAGTCAACTCTGCCATTGCTCTCAACCAGCCAACCTATGGGCTACTACTTGCCCAGCTGCCTGGGGAGACCAAGGAGAGAAAGAGAGATACACAGACAAATAGACATGAGGGAATCTAAAAACAACAGAGGAGGAAGGTACAGCAAATGTGTAAGAAAACTGGAAAAAGAAAGACCTCCATACAGTGACCGGGACGTGGAAATAATTGGAAGTACTGTAGGGAAAGATAGAGATACAGAAGACTTAAGTACAGCTCTGGATTTAGGGAACATATGAAACTGTAAGAAAAAAAGGTCTATTAGTTCAGCTGATCATGAACAATCTATCTGTGTCCCCTTCTACGCTTTGTTGTGGAATATTTCACTTGCATTAAGGTTAAGCAATAAACAGGCTGAAACACAAAATCTAAGCAATAAGCAGGCCCACAAAATCTTAACCTGGAGAAATCATTTGCAGGCAAGTTTCTTGTCTCAAGCAGTGTCTGTAAAAATGAAATTAACTCTGCTGCGTTAATTCAGATTTAACTGAGTAACAACGCATTAGGATGTTCCTTCTTACAGATTGTTTTCATGTGCTGAACTCCGTGTCTCTTTCTGAATACTATCAGTCTGTTGAAGGAAAAGTCTAAATGTTTAACATTGCCCACAGAGTTAAAGTTCAAAGATGAATCATAAATTTAATGTAGGCTCTTGAAAGGCGAACTGTCTACAATTTCACAGAACAACTAACCCCTTTCTCTGCAGAAGATGACAGCTGCAGGCCTCTTCATGGTTCCCAATGAGGATGAACATGTCTGGGGTCACTGTTTCAGCAGCTAAGTACAGAAGTCCTCAGATAGCACCTGTTTCCCTGCTCTGCCTCCAAGTCATTTATGTAGCACGCACTGCCAATATGGTATTTAAGTCACATGATAACTATTTGTCATAGTTTCAGCTGGGATAGAATTATTTTCTTCAGAGTGTCTGGTATGATGCTATGGTTTGGTTCCAGGAGAAAAACAGTGTTGATAACACACTGATGTTTATAGTTGTGGATAAGCAGTGATGCACAGAGCCAAGGCCATTCGCAGCGAAGGATCAAAGGAGCTGAGAGGGAAGAGAATTAGAACAGCTGACTTAAAATGGCCAAAGAGATATTCTATGCCATATGACATCATGTGGAAGGAGTTTTGAAGGAGGGTGGGCATTCATATCTCTGTCTCTCTTCTGCTGCTCACGGGACTAGTTGGGCATCAGTCGGAGAGTGGTGAGCAATTGTTTGGGCATCACTTGTTATATACATTTATATGTGTGCATATAAAGATATATATATATATGTCATCATTATTAATCTTTTCCTTTTCTTTTAGTAAATAGTTTTATCTCAACTCAGGAGTTCTACCTTCTTGTTTTTTTTATGTTCTCTCTGCCATCCTACTGGGAAAGGGGAGAGTGAGCAAACAACTGCGTGGAGTTCAGCCACCTGGCCAGGTTCAGCTACAACACAACTCTGTTGGCTAAAACTCCATTTGTGTACCTATTTCTAAGAAGAATCAGTCTGCAAATTATTGATTATATGAAGCATGTGTGCGCCTTGCAGATCATCCTGACTATGAAGGACATTTTTTTTTAGCAATAATAGGTCTCACAGAGGCAATGAGGTCTGCTCTGGGTTCTGCATATTCAGAAGCCTGATTTGCTTCAATATTCATCTTGTCTAAGATTGCTGGACACACCTATACAGAAGCCACAGTTTCCAGATCCAAAATGGCCATACAAAACATTGTTTTAGGATAGTACTGGGAGAATTCTATACGAATTCATCTCCACAAAAAGGGAAAACAAACATTGTGGATTGCTGTGTCAGAACTAACTCTACTACACCTAAGTGGAAAACAGCATGTGGGAAAAAAAAATAAAGAAAATTAAAAAAAAGAATACTTTGATTTTTAGATGGAAGATACTGTACCTGTCCTGCTAGGCCAAGATCACCTTACTACCCTACTGATAAAGTGCATATGTATGAAGGCAGGGAGAAGGATAGAGTAGTACACGATAACTGGACTGCTGCATTTTGGTGAAATTATGTTGTGATGAAATAATCACAGATTATGCACTCCTTACAATTTAGGGAAGTTTTCAGTAGCAGCAAAGTAGCATCATGTAAATTCTACCTGCATCCCAAATGCGTAGGTCTGCATGAAACTTGTTTTTTGTTCTCACTATTCAAAAATTACATGTTGTGACTTCACTTAACCAGTAGGTAGTAATAATACATAAAATGAACAATTTCATTCATAATATGCTGTGTATTTTAGAAAGAAATCTAACATAAAATCAACAGAGCTATGCAGGTCTTTGTGATGTGACAGACATTGTAACATTAAAATACGGTACATTTTACTTGTCTTGCTCAACTGCCAACAGAAAGATGCACTACAGAAAATGGCACCTCATTAAATACATTCTTCTCCTTTGCCTTCTCTTTTCACAGGCACATACCCTAGGAACACATTCTCCTCTTTGAATAAGCAGCATTTTTATGGAATAGATGTTGTGAACACTAGAAGAAGGCTTCAGATTCATGCTTGTAAGCATTTGAAAAACAGTGGCAAACTCTACACTTTGTCTAGAGACGAGTCTTAAAGACCTGTGACACAGGTAAAAACATGGTCTTAGATAAAAAATGAAAAATATAAAATATCATCCTATTTTTCACAGAGAAAACATCATCTTATCAGAAATTCCAAAATAAGAAGTTTGTGTAACATCTTAGCCACTTGATAATGCCTGGTAGTGAGGTATAACATAACCCTTTATTGCTCACACCTGTGCAATGCACTGCTGCATCTGTACAGACTGTGTCTCCACTTCAGACTGGAAATAACCACAGTGGCTCTTACAAAAGCTGGCCTGGAAAGCAGAAGCACAAGGAATTGCAGTGTGAAGATACATGGGCAGCCTGCATGTGCAGAGCCCCACAGATGCTTTGGATGCTTTTGAGATTTGAACATCCAGAGGCACTGTAGTTTCTCCATCATGGATTTGCCAGAGTATTCTAATATTCTTAATTCAAAGATCTCTACACTATGCTTACAAGAATGGCAAAGATAGACCCAGAATTAAATTATTGATACTTAACCCTTCTGGGTTTTTTTGTTTGTTTGTTTCTGTTTTAAATATACATTTATTAAAGCACTACAGGTCACAGTGCTTAGACTGGGTTGTAGTTGACTTCCAAGCTGCCAATACTGTATAACATAACTGTCAGATAGGCTGGCAACACCAATGCTGAAATAATAAAAAAAGTAGTATATTCTGCAGCTTAATCATGATGAGAAGTGATTCCAACTTTCCAAATGCTTAAAATCTTAGCCTTTGCCTTGTAATCTGAACTGTAAGATGTTTTATTAATACATCAGTATCTCTAGCACTGAATGACAATTTTACTTTTTCTTTAACCCAAATTCACCTGAACCAGGTGAGAGCTTGAGGTATCTTAGTGCTGTTTAGACTCACCTTTCCAAAGCTGGCGGCATTAACAGGTTGCGTGTCATTTTTCTCACAGAAGTCCAAGTAATGCATGTAGAGAGCACTGCGAGGAATGCAAACACCTTCCGCAATCTCGTAGTTCTCCTCCAGCCTTAAAAAGCAAATATCAAACAGAGAGCACTGCAAGTATGTTGGATGTCCTGTATGGTGAACTGTGTACAAAGCTGCATCTTTCAGACCAAAGACTATAGCCTCTGCTTTTCTAGTCAGTTTTCTCTGTTTTGTTCTTAAGTACAAAGTCCAATTAACTTTGACAAAGCTTGCTTATAATTTGCTTTCTGCTTTCAATCAGATACGTAGATTGTGAGTTCTTATAGTCAATAGGAGATTTGCACAAAGGAATATTATTCTGTGGTCATGTTCCAAAGTACTATTTTTTAAAAAAATATACTGTCACATAACACCTGTCAAACAAAACCAAACACTGGGTGATGGGCAGCATTCCCTCATTTTTACAGGACAGGTCACCATTGGTTCATAACATCTTTTCACTCCTGTCCAGCTGCAAAATTCCTTACCTGGAGGAAGCAAGTGTGGCTGAAACAAGATGTTTGTAAACACCAATAGATGTGCACAAAATTATATCTCTAGAATAATTTCTCGCTATTGTTGATTGATTAAGTGAAGAAAACAAGAGTCCATGATCTGCTGAATGCAGCAGTGAAATACCATCCTCCTTCGCATTGTAGAAACTATCATAACTCACTTACACATACAAACACAACCATTACATTCTAAATTATGCATCACATACACTAATGAGCAACTGCTTAGAGTTTAAATATGGAATCGTAGCCACTGTCAATCGATAGATTAGAAAAATATTTATCTTGAAATTATATTATTATGATTGCTGACCCAAAGAATTTGAAGAGCTCTTTGCATACGCACAACTTTAAAACCTCAATCTTGTCACCCATGGTAGCACTTGTGCTTTTAAGTTGCAAGTGTGCTCATCTGCCTTGCTGGCTGTGAGAAGAAAGTGGGTACAACTTCTTCTTAAACTATAAAATAAATATATTCTCAGAAACCTCCAGTTTTACAGTAAATAGGCCCCTGTCATATGATAACTGTACAATACCTTTTCAAATATCTAGTTTCACTCTTTCGTTGCCTCTTCCAGGTCCTATCCTCCTTCCTTTTCAGTTATCACGATCATTTGTGACTGCAAACTATTTTAATAAGATATCCGGCTAGATGAATGGAATCAGTTTGTATGGGCAACATCTATTCTTCCTTGGTTTCTACAGGAATATCATCATGGCATCTTTCCTCAAATTCATAGCGCTTTAACAAAACCTTCTTTCAAAACCTGGAGAGTTCGTTTGTATACTATAGCTGCTAATTGGAATGTCAGCTTCCGTGACCAAGACAGGACAGAAAGAAAAGCAGTTAATTATTTCTGCTCATATCTGATGAATTTTTCTCTTTTTCTCCTCTCTTTCACAGAGAATCATTAGTCTGACACCGAACAATGCTCCATTATACCTGAACTTTTTTTTTAATGATCAAAACCCCATCTTGCTCCACTTCTTTTATTTTCCTGTCTTTTATTTAACAACTTTATCATGTTTTGAATTCAGCCTCATTCTACAGTGTTGTAGAAAGATAATGAACTCAACCTGCTACCTAACAAATTTCTATCAGAAATAATGTATATATAACATTTTAAGTATCCTAATAAAGCCACGTCAAAAGCAGTAGTTCACAGTCACTTTTGTACCACTACAGTATAGCAATAAAATCCCTAAATCCTTCCACAAATAGTGACAATTTTACCTGTCTCTATTAGTGTTCCCCCTGTATATTTACATACTTCTAGAATAAATGACATTATTATATACCAGAGTTGTGTTCAGTGTAGTCTTATTGCTAGGTTGGAAGGCAACAGAACAGCAGTGATGTTATCATTTCTAATTACATAAAGGATTCTAGAATAGATAATTTGATATATTATAACTGTTTCTGCAGAACTGCTAACCTTGGGAGAATCCATTGACTAGCGTGCTTTACTTTCTTCTTTTTCTGTTCTTTTTTGGCGTGTTGTAGAAAATACAATAGTTTTTTGTTTGTTTCATCTTCACAACACTTATTATTTGATGCACCTATGCTGTAAGCCACCAAACTGCATGGACTTGAGCTATCTTGGCTTTTGGTAATTCAGTGTTGAGAGAATTAGACACACACACACCCCAAAATTACACTACAGTTTGGTCAACCAGCTTGCCAGGGAAATAATCCAAATGTTTCAGAGAAGTACTTAGTAAGCTGTAGCTATGCAGATAATTATGAACATAGGAACAAGAGAGAAGAACAAAATACTAGGTATTTGAATGTTCATGCCTTAACAGTTAACATTCAGGCTGGTGCATGTTCCTGGATGATGATTTGGCAGAATGACTACATTTACCTGACCTTTCACTTCATTTTGTGTCATCAGCGAAACTAAACAAAGCAAAAACCATCATTCTTATTTCCAGGAAAAATATCAGGCCAGGCTGACAATCATCTGAGCACACTTCTAAATCCTCAGCTAGATCTTCCTCTTCTTTTATAGTGTTCAATGTAATTTCCATTTGGAGAGGCATAAGCATTACAGATAGATCCCCATGGGATTGATGCTGTTCTCTCTTTTCACTAAGATGTCAGACAAGAAATAAATAATAAAAGCAAAGGCAATATGAATAATATGACAAAAATTATGTATTTCTCTTATGACTTGCTTCACTTTCCCTGCCACTTTCCTCCTTTTTCCTTGCTACTGACATTTCCCTTGTTTCTTTTTCTCCACTGCTCCCATGACTTCATTATCTACGAATGATAGTAGCACCTTACAGTAAAAAACAGAGACAAGAGACAAAGGTGGTGCTTCCATTTGCCAGAGCAAGGTAATTTCAGTACCTTACCCTTGGAATCTAGGCAGTAATTTATCCCAGAACTTCTAGCACTTGAATCTTGCTTAGAGATTCCTGTGAGAGGGTAGGATGCATGCTTACTCAAGGCATATTCAGATAAAGTTCATCTTTTGTCTTTTCTGACTGTGCAAAAACTTGATCTGAGCCCTGATAGGCAAAACTGTCAAACAAGCATGGCCAAACCTGTGGGAAACACTCAGTGCAGCTTTTGTACAGTGCTGACCACAATCATTTACCAACCCATGGGTTGCTACCACAGTATGAACAACTTGATGGTAACGTGTCTGGCTTTCCAGAAAAATGGAAACTTAACATCTTCACCCAAAGCAAGCTTTCTACTTTATAGCATTTTGATCACAATGTATGAACTTCTAATTTTATTTAATGTATCAAATGCAGAAGCATGGTTTCTCCAGGCAACCCCAGTTCAAAGCTGCAGCACTGAGGCAGAACAGCATATTGAAGCCAAGAAAAAACTTTCATATGAGAGAGCTACTAAGCTGGCAAGCTATTACCTGTAAGTCTATTAACAAGTGAGTAAATCATATTATTCAGTTTGACATTAGCTAAAGAAGTTAAACTTGAAAATGTCAGTGATTTCTGTTTCCTCACATGTTTTGAATGGAAAATTGAATGAAGGATATTGCAGATGCTCCAGAAGTCTCAAAAGGGACAATTTCTAACCTACCAAAATGTGTAGGAAGCATTACACAACAGGCAGGTAGTAAACCAATCCACTAGCAAAGGGGAAGGGAAAATGACGTAAGCAGATTTTCTTTTTTTTTTTTGTCCAAAATTCTGGGATTCTATTGCAAAAACTGCTGAATGAGTATTAGTGTTTGCACCACATTCCAGCACAGCTCAATATCCCAGGAGTTTAGGGATTTACTAATCTTTATGACTGAGGAAGCTTGAAAGTATCTGGCAAAAGACCGTTAACAGTATTTGCATGTTTTCTGTTGGGAACAGTATCACTGGCATGTTCTAATTAACTCTGACTTCTTGGCTACTATGCTATTTGCTCCTGTGGAAAAGACTCTTCACTGAATCTGCTGCAAAATAAACTCAGTTCTGAATGTGGACTGGTAAGCCATGGCTATTATTTCATTTTATCCAGATCATTCTTAATGATCTTGTTTGAACTGTATTGAAGTGGTTTATGTGAATAATAGAAAATAAGAAAATATAGCTACATGATTTTCCTACTATGTTAATATTTTTTTTTCTCTATAGTCACTCTCCTTTATTCACATTTCCAAAGCTTTTGAAAGCATCTTGGTTGTACAAGTATGTAAAAAGAAATAATCATACAGAATTAAGAGCCTTTATTTATATTTACGTATCTCACTATTTGCACTGAAATTCAGCAAATTCAGCAAGGCAAAATTTTGAATATTTGCAGCAATATATTCCGAATCTTCCTACAGATTTTGTTTTTTTGAAATCTAAAATTTAACTGATTAACTTTAAAGAGAACATAAATGAAATTGTCTGAATCTCTTGAACCGATTGGATTATTCTTTGCTATTTATTCTGTTAGGTTTCCCAAGATGTTGATAGAAGAAAAAAATCATTTTTCTAACATTCTCTTAAAAGCAAAAAAAACCCAATCTAATCCTAAAGGAACTACCTACAGGTGAAGCAAAGGCCTGTCTTTAAAATACTTAAAGCAATCTAAGGAGCATGAGATTTCAGACAGCACACTCTGAAGCTTGGCAGATCTCTGTTCTGCCAGATAGAAGAACCTCCTGAAAGATGACTGATCACTTGTCATCTTCTGTGCTAATGTCAAAGATTTCATTTTAGTAAAACAGTCAGAAAAGATAGGCACCATCACACACTGAAGCAATCATAAGTCTCAAACAAAATTCTCTGTATTAGTTTTCTTTTTGTAGTAAGTACAACAAAGAAGATGAACCACAAATTACCAACTGGCAAGGTGACAAGCAAATAAACCAACTAGTTTTTCTAAACTGTATCAGAGCTCTCTTATATTCAAATAAATTTCATTAGAGTAAGATATTTGTTAAGAAACATTAAGTAGGATGCTAATGAGCAAATTAAATACATACAGTAAAACTATCTTTAGAATTCTATAAGATGTCCAAGATCTCTATTCATTTCAGCTCAAAAAAAAGATAAGAAAAGATTCTAACAGGTCACCTCGTTTTTTTTCAAAGGCATCTTACCATTGCAGAGTAGCGGGAGTTGAGTGTGGTTTCGATGCTCTATTATTTTCTTTTTCCTCATCTGTTAAGAAACAAAAGAATACTACTTAATTTCAGTGAGAACTGTTCAGGCAGTGTGAAGTTGTAAGGGATTATCTGATCAAAAATATTCTGAAGTGTCAAAGCTTTCCCAAATTCTGTCTGAAGAGTGGAAATATAAACACTGATGCTCCCTAAGTTATTATCTACAGGTACTGCTTAAGACAACAAAGCTTGCAAACTTCTCTCACAGCAGGAGTGAGGTGTTGTGTAGAAATGATGGCATTGGAAAGCATAATTATATATAAAAAAGAGAGAATCTTAAATCTCAAGCAGCGTGTCCAAACATAAAAAAAACTTTCACCACCTTTAATGGAACAGCTGCTTAATCCAATCTGCTTTTTCTTTATCCTTTATCCTTCCATTAGATGAGGCATTTAACCTTAGTGGTTTTCCTCCACTGTTGTGATCCTGATGTATGACAAACACTAAGTGTTTGTAAATTTACAAAGCTTAATAAAAATTGAAGTTAAAAACATTCTGTAATACAGTTTATTTCTTTTTGGGTAATTTTCTGATGATAGTATTCTCTATTTACTGTTTGTTAACTCTTTGATTTGCTGGCTTCCCAAAAAGCTTGATAAAAGATGAATAAAGACTCTGAAAGTAGAACTGTTTTAAAAGATTGGATTTTTTGCCAGTCCACATTAGTTCTTTTGAGAAAAAAAACAGAAGTATATATAGAATAATTCCTATTAAACCGTGATTTGCAAAGTGTATAAAACATTCCTAAATGAAAGCTGAGAGTCTGAAGCACAACCAGCTTCTCCAGAAGGCTGTTCTATGGAAAGCACTGTTGCTTCAGATACAGTTGGCTATTTTTACAACTTTGTGCCCAACGAATGCACTAAGGGTAGAAAGCTTAGATACCTAAATGAGGTAAAACTACTGTATTGTTACACTGCATTGCTAGAATCATTTCTTTGTGCAATTAATTTTTAGAAATTACTTAAGCCAGCTTTTAGGATGTTGAACTTTAAGGCAGGCAGAGTATCTCCTCGGAGTACCAGACCCATCTGGGAGGTCTATTGTGCAATGCCAAGAACTGGCACACAGAAATAAAACCCTGCTTCAGAAAACGCTACCTTCAGCCCTCACATCACAGTGCTTCTTCCATTACATTCAGTGTTAACTAAACGTCCTTTAGCCGGGGAGGTCGGGCCCTGAACGTCAAGAAAATCCAGATTTACAGTTATCCACAGACACTGGGGCAGCCCCTCTTCTACATCTGCATGACAATGGGCCTCTAATTATTGGATCGCACACTCCTTCCTTGCCTTTCAGGGGCCCGCTTTTATTCAGCCCAAGGACCAACATACACATTTCAAATCACTTTTAAATTGTGTTTTTCATTTGTTTTTCCTAAACAAACGGTCTGCATGCAACAAACCTTGGGCACACAGGGCCTGAAGGCCGAGCTGCAGGCCGCATGAGCACAGCCTGGATTTTGGGAGACAGAGCTGTGCAGCACAGACTTAAAACCAGTGGTGGATAAAATAGTTGGGGCCATACCCACAGTTTGTCTCAGCAATGTGTTGTGGGCAGTAAACTGCTTGTGGGATGGGGGAGTTCCCCTTGGTTTTGTAAAGACAATAAAGCTGGCAGCCGTGGGAGCGAGTGAGCCTGGCAAACAGGGATGGGGATAGGTCTGCAAGCATGGGAGATCACCAGTTTGCCATCAGTCCCTGTAAGAGCAGCACCACAGCACCTTCCTATTGACTGTAGAGTTTTCTGTCCTTTGACAGTGCATGAGAGATGTCAGAGTGAGATACAACAATTGAAGCTGCTGCACCTGTGCATCAGCAATGTGTAAGGGCCCCGTCTCAGCCCCACCACCTTCTTGTTCAGAATAAGGTTATTGCTTCCCAGTTGAAAGTCATCTGTTTTCTTAATCACCTTTTTCTCTGTCAGTATCAAATCCTTACATTCTGCTTTAAGTTCACACTGTAGCTTAGACTTCACTGGAAATTGCTAGGGAGGTACAAACTGAAAAGGCTGGGTGCCACTGATCTGAATAACCACCGATGTAACTAAGATGCAGTAATCCTAAACTGCTTCTGTCTGTGAAACCAACAGGTGTTACGGTCCCCACACCCTATCTTTTTTGCACTCCAAATAAAACTTTTTATTATATTTAGTGATTTAAGGGGGTTAGTATGCAAAGGTCTATCATCTACACTAATTAGATATAATCTTCTCCTGCATATTTGGCACTGTATCACACATCAAACCAATATCCAAACTACATAATTGGTCTCTGCATCCCTTCTACCCATCCTTTGGCTGTTTCACAATCACATTAAGACCTGTGAACAGGTGTTTTACCTAACCTGCCCTCAGACATTCTCCAAGCTATCCATAGTCAGTCAGTTCCTCCCATAGAAGGATGTGTTTTAACCACAAAAGCTAATAGTAAGATCACAAACTACAGTTTCAATCCCTTTTCTCAGCTGTGTATGTTTCCTGGTGATTCTTCAAGACGCTTCAGCACCCTCCACTAATTGTCTGTAACAGGTAGGAGAACAATGTACTTTGAACTTCTTTATGGAAGTTCTCTGAGAATCGCTTTCCATCAAAATATTTAGTGCATGAGCAACTGGATTTTCAACACAATTAAAATATTCATAATCTTTCCAATATTTTCCCCAGAATCAAGCCTCTGCAAAATAATATAGAATTTTTATTCATTTTCTGCCTATGAGCCAGATATCAGCTAAAATGTTTCTCATTTTCACTAGATTTTGGCTAAAATGTTTATTTTTATTAAATAGATGGATAGAGTTGTACATACTGTAAGAATGGATGAGATCTAGAAATATAAACATTCAGTATTAAATACAAGAGCGCTGTATAACTATATAATCTCATTAGATAATTTACTAGCAAAACAATAGCTATCCCTATTCCTTACACTTTATTTGGTAGCAGGGCACCTAATGATTTACCCTACTGAGCAGGGAATGTTTTGTGCAAGTCTTGACTCAGGCCTGATCCAAGATTTCTTTGTACTGCATTAAAGATATAAAGAATGCTGTTCTCCTTTTTTCTTTTTCTTTTCTCCTCTCATTTTATCAGAACCCTTCACAGAGCCACTGTATGTTAAAAGGAATATTTAGAGTTAAATACTTTTAGAATCTAATCTAGTTTGTAAAGAAGTGAAGTAATGACGTGGAAAAGAAGTCTTGTTTATGACGTGGAAAAGAAGTCTTGTTTCAAGACACTGTCCAAGAACAGACATCACAGTTCTTCTCTGACAAATGCTAAAGGACTTAAAGACATCAGCAAACTGATGTTGATGTTCATCTCTGTCATAACTACAGTGGAATTAGAGCTTTTCTTTGCACCCCAGAGGTAACAGAAGAGTCTTGCACTTTCCAGGGCTGCTTGTACTTGTCTCAAAGAACCTCCAAGGAGCTAAGACAGTTTTAGTAGCTTTATCTGAATAAAATCCTTCACATAGTTCAGACACCTCCACATTTTTCAGATGAATAGCCCCTGCCCCTGTAGCCTCAGCAGCCCAAGTTCTGACTGTTCTCAAAAGTGATTTGCCCTTTGCTAACATGAATTAAGGGACAGTAAGAAGCTGCCTTACCTCATACTTCCACGTAGTTGTAAGCAAGATACAGCCTCATTAGCATGTACTCTATGCTATAAAAAGTAATGTGATTTTTTTAAACTATCTGAGAAACACAGGAGTATAGTTCTAATTCAATAAACATGACTGGGAAAACAAGAATTTTTCTTCAAAGAAAATGTCAACAAAATCAAGTAGCTCTTCTTTTAAGCAGATCTTTTCCAATCAAAGGAAAGCTAGCTTAGTTCAAGCAAACAAACAAACAAAGAAACTATTGGGTAAAATTTCCATTTTAACCAGTTTCAACACTGGTTTTAAACACTCCTTTTGAAGAGGAAAAAGCAGTGTGAATCTTTTATCTCTTCTGAATTGTCTACACATTCACTTTCCAAAATATGCAAAATAATTTGCACAAGCAGCCCTTCCACTTCATCACATAACATCATGACTCCTTGCACAGAAAACTGAAGTAGAAACTTTCATAATCCTTAAATTGTATTCTTTCATACCCCTATTTCAAATTTGGAGAATCTGGCTTGAGCAGATTCAGAAAATGTTTTTTTTTCTTTCCAATATTAAATATGAAATCGCACCATTCCATTTTCCTGTGGATCTTCTGACTAGCATATAGAAGTGGTGAAAGGAGAAATACTTAGAAAACTGGAAACTGAAGTAAAGTTATCCTATAATTTCTATATTAGAGTGCAAATGCTTTGTTTTGGGAAAACATATAAAAGGTCCCAGGAAGCACCCAAAAACAGCAGTGAGCATTACTTTACAATGTAATACAGGTTCAACCGATCTGGAGACTAGGAGGAAAATGGAAGAGGAGTGCAAAGGACTTCTGCGGCCCAATGTACAGTTCTGTCATGTACTCCAACGGTAGGAAAGGAAAGAGGGAAACTATCACTTGTCCTAAAACCCTATGAACTGTAAAAACATGCAAGAAAAAATAAGTCATAAAAGCAGGCTGGTACTGAGTAAGAAATCAGTGGAAATCTTCCTTAATGGATGCACATATCAAACCTCCAAAAAACACCAAAAGAAAAACAAAGCCACATTTGCTTTACTAGCATCCAGCCAAAAACTATCTGATATATTTAGGAAAACAAACAAATTCAACATCACCAATAAATCAAGAGGAAGATGAATGATGCCTTATTTTGACTGCGGATGAAAACAGGAGGTCTGCTGACCACAGTAACTTGGCCACCATTCCGAGGAATTCAAAAGTCACGTAGGTTTTCTCAAAATATGTTGTCTCCTGCTGCTTGAAAGTGTATGGCAGAAGCTGGACAGAGATGGACATGATGGTTTGGAAACTTCTTGGGCACTTTTAGGAAAACCCAAAGACTAGAAAGGGACACATAATATGATATGATGCTTCCTAAGGGGAAACATCTACTTTTTTCTAGATATCACGGATTATTGATCTTCTTGCTGCTAGACAAATGGCTTATTTTTCTTTCCTCCTCTTCCCTTTCTCCTCTCACAAAAACAAGGATGGCTTTTCAGATGGATTAATTCTCTGATCTACACTGCAAAAATGTCAGTATTTGTGCAATGGAAACAGCTGGATTAACTGGCTATAAAAAGGAAACCAGATTAAATGAACACTTTCTTTCTCATTTGAGTTTCCATCATGTACTGTGACAAAGCATTCTGCACACAAACTGTGGGAAAAATTCAGTTCTGTATTTATCAGTTTTACATTTGCTGCCATTTGTTTTCATTACTTTTCCCTTAATTCCAGCACCAGAAGACAGAATGAACAACCATCCTGTCTCCTCAGTGCTGCTCTCTGAAATACCTGCTCTTAATCACAACTGCTAAGCCACACAGGTTCACCTGCTGACTCTGGGGATGTGAAAGTTTTCCTGTGTACACATTCAAGCTATAAGCACATATAACAAACTACTGATAGTTTTGCTACAACCTATATAGAGTAACAAATCTAAAAAAAGAGTAGAGAAGGGAACTCATAAAATGAAGTGTGTTGGTTTGTTTTTTTGTTTTTGTTTTGTTTTGTTTTTATTATATAGCTAATGGGATTAATTTATTATTCTGATACTGTGAGTCTAAGGAAAAGCCCACTAAAGTCAATAGAATCAAATCCTGAATTCAGACTCCGTTAAGAATCAGAAGTCACATCTCAGTCGTCTCAGATTATTTCTGTCACATTCTTAGTAGCATCAGATAGAGTAAAATGAATGTAATAAGTTGCACGTAGGTTGTCATAAAATGCAAATTAACATCCGTATGTTTTATTTTTTTTCAGTACCATTTGCTAATTTCTTACTTCATAAAATAAAAACAGAACACCTCCAAAGCCCAAACCTGTCAAATGTTATTATCTTTGAGGATTCTCTTCTGCTGTTCTTAGTATGGGAATCATGCTTCTAACACCTTCTTTCTTCCTCAGAAGAGATATCTCTTCAAAAGAGACTCCTGGACAAATAAATGCGAGACCCCAACATAGAAAATTCTGTGATCAGCTGAAGCTTTGTGCTGCAAGGCATGTAATTCTACAGTGACATCAAAGACCAGTTCTCTTAAAATGAAAAAAAAAAAAAAAAAAAAAAGGCAAAAAGGGACGATCAGCATTAAGATGTATTTAAAAATACGTTTTCTAAACTTATGTGTCTTTATTTTATACAGAATTGTGGTTTTCTGAATGGAAGAATTCATTTTGCATTAATATCTTGTAACCAAGTAACGCTGGAAGTATAGAAATGAAAAATAACCCTAACAGTCACAAAGCAATTAAAATAGAAATCAAACAAAAACAAGATGGTAAACTAAAAATTGTATTACAATTTTAAATAGAAAAAAAAATAGGTTATTTTGAGGTATTTGGAGCTATTTATAATTACCTGCTCCTGTTAAAAAAAAAAAAATTAAAAAAATCAAGAGCTAAAATTACTTTAAGTAGAAGAAATGAGAAAAAAACAGCTATTGTGAAATTACCTACATTTATAATTGTTTCTTCTCAATGACTAAAGGGAAGCAATATCATGATTCAATATATGATTTTTTTTTAATCTTTTTTTTAATTCTTAAAGAATTTATTTGTGTGACTCAATATTGAACAACAAATCTGTGTAATTCTTGTATTTCAACTGCCTGGTGTTCACCAGTGAAAAGAAAAACAGATGGTTTTAGTCGTGAGCAAATGCTAACAGTACATTTTAGAGGTCACCCAACCTCTATTCAGGGACACACAAATTCTTCTGGATGTTTTAACTCAGAGATAGTATTACTTCCTTTTAAATAATGGGAAGTAACCAATGTTCCAGCAAAAAAAATGATAAAACTTTTGGATGTGTTGAAGAGCCAACTCTTCAAACTACAGAGTACCAAATATATTATGAGGAGATATACATATATGTAATAGAAGGAAATTACCACTTAGACTTTTTAACATGCACTTCAAATTCATGAAAATTTACTTACTTTCATCATTAGAAACGCTCCCCAGAGAGGTGTGATTGGAATAGCGTTTGTTTTCACTTTCATTGAGACACCGTTCAATCCAACTCTCTGCAAAACAACAAAGTTGCTCTTTTTGGTGTTTGTCTTTGCATAGAAAATAAACTTCCAACACATTAAACTAAATAGAGCGCTGTTTTCCAACAGATGGTCATCTGTAGCATTTCTGTTAAAACAAGCTCAGATGGAGGTTCTTTAGCAAGAAAATCTTTTCAGCTTTCACACACAGCTGTTGCTTTTTGCCGGCGTTTTTGGTTGGGATTTTTTTCTTGTGTGTTTTCTGTGTTTGTTGGTTTGTTTTGGTTTGTTTCTTACAACAGAGGCCGAAACACTTCCGTGTATACAACAAAGGTCTTCAGGATATTCTCTCCCCTCCCCGTCACTTGATACATTAAAAAATAATTACTGCCTCATGAGCAACTGAAACACACAAACTGCATTGATTTCTACATCTTTGTCTGGCAGACTTATGTACCTGAACATTTCCACTGTTCTTGTGAGGGTGGTTCGCACACGTAAATCATTCATGTAGATTTTTTGTAACAGCGAGGCTCAAACTGTGCTCACTGAAATCCAGTCCTACAACCTCCTTTGTGCCTTTGGATTCTTTGGCTCTACTGAGATCATTTCCAGGTACGAGACCAAGGTACCAAGTCAGGAGCCTTTGTGCTACTCAAGCCTTTTTAAGTCTTCAGCTGCTCCCATCCTCCCTCTTTTCTTACTTCCTATTTATTCCCCCCAGTGAGATGAGGTGCAGCATTACATCGGTTTGACTCTGCTGTTCCTCCTTCTGGAAGTTATAACAAACACCCCCTGATGATTTTAGAGGATGCACCAGGCTCAGCAGAATTTACTGTTACGGATCTTCAGGGCAAAAGTCACACCTTCCTTGGACAAAGCATAAAATACAAGTCCTTGGGTTTGCTTCAAATCCCTGAATGCTACCATGATAAACTGATCCCTCTGTAAGCCTGTTTTTTCAAGGGCAGAGCTCACTGTGGTCAAAGCAAGAAAAGCAAAGAGCAGGTGGGAAGGCTGCGTGGTAACCCCACAACTTACAACAGGAAACATCCCCACTGAGTGAAGGGATACACAAGAAATAAGAGGAAACAGGCCTCCCTTCAGCAAATTGCTGGAGCCAGAAATACCTTCAAAGGGGATGGAAATGGATGCAGGTTGTTTTCCATAAGCCGCCCCCAAGGCCGCCAGACTACCTGCATGGAGCTGCCAACCAGGGAAAGCCACAGCAGCAGGCCTGAAGGGAAGGCAGGAGCCCAGCGAGAGCCGCCTGTGTGTTTTACAGAAGGCAGCAGTCAGTAATGCTTCATTTCAGGAATCCAGAAAGGGCCCGCTGAGAACTCCTCAGGGCAGTGCTCCAGGCCCTGACACCAGGTGCAGGCACTGCTGTTCTGCACACTACCAGTGCCCAGGCAGTGCAAGAGAAGCCACAGCAGCTCCAGGCCCTCCCCTGCCCCGTTTGCCCGCACACCTGCAGCAGAGCACACCGCTGTCAGCACGAGCACGTCCCATCTGCATGCCATTAAAGCACCCTGAGCCTCGTGACTACGCAGCCTCTTCACTGCAGCTTAGTCTTTGAGGTGTGGCAAATACCCTCACTTCCCCGAAAATCAGCCAAAATGACTCTGTGGATTTGTCAGGATAATTTTTTATACTATCACACTCCTGGTCTCATATAAAAATCACTTTTACCGACACTGCAACTTAACATCTACCAAGAAAGCCTATGCTGTGTGGCTGTTGACCCCAAAACCTGCTGGGAACGCAGTGCTGAGGCTTTCACTGCTCCTGCTGCTCAGCTGGGCCCACCAACCCCTTGTCATAGGGCCAACATGACTGCTCCATGCCAGACCGCCCTTACTGCCCTAGCACTGAGCTAACAGCACCTCTCCTCTCCCATTTTACTAAATTGAGCCGGGTAGGGCTCTTCACACCTCGCTACAAGGCGAAGAGAAACTTTCTGCTGAGGATGACCCCAGAGAGAGGTGCGAGAAGCCTTGAGAAAGGTTACTCTACCTCCTCCTCCTCCTTTCAGTGCACAGCCGTGGCCGTGCATAATTCCCTTGGCTCCATGCCCAGCTGCAGGGAGCACAAGCAAAGGCGGCTGCCATTAGCGCCAAGGGGAGAGCGATGCCCAGCTCTGCCCTTTCTTTTCCTGTCGGCACCGAGAGCTGGGAAGCTGGGACTCATCTTCTTCCCTCGACAGCAGGGAACTGGCAGCAGCCATCTTTAGCCACGTTCACTAAATAGCAAAAATAAAGTTTTCAGGTGTTGTTTAGAGTAATTTTCTCATCATCATCCTGATAACTGCATTTACAGCCCTTTTGATTGGTAAGGAAATTTACACTGCAAGCTCTAACATCTCTGGAATAGGGCACAGTTACTGTTTAATTATGTGCTGCAACTACTTTGGTCCTGAATCACGCCGGTTCAGCTCGCTGCAGCTTGAGTCTGGCTTTGTCTTTGTGGCCTTGCATTTAAATAGCTGATAGAAATTCTTCAGGCCTGAAAAGATACATGACCTGTCTGGCAGGAAAGAATGAAGAAAACGAACTCTTTTAAGTGAAAATGTCAGGGAGTTTATGGCAAATTTGTCAAATTATTTGGCAGATGACAGAATGTGACAACACCAACTAACTGTTTAAAGGCTGCATTATCTCATAAACCAAGAGCTGTAAGTATAAGTAAGTAAGTATTATAAGAAATTCCTTCACTTAATAAACGTTTTTACTGCTTGTATAAGGATAAAAGTTTTCACAAAGCTTTTAACTGCCAATATTAATAACAGCGCCTGCAGGCATTAAAAGAAAATACAACCAGCTTTGCAGAATTTGAAAACACTGCCACTGAGAGTTGATACACCATAAACCTGCCATTAAAAAAAAAAAAAAAAAAAAAAAAAGGAAAGAGAGAGAAAAACGAAGCAACTAAAATAAGAAAAGCCAAAACTAAGTCTGTCTTAAAGAAATTGTTTCAGAGCTAATAATGTTAGATTCTGCTGCAGCATAGCGAACTCACCGGGCAGAGCTCTGTTCACACTGCCTTGTTCACACTGCCCTGGAGCACAACCCAGCTGCAGAGTCAGAGGGAGGCACCCACAGCTAACCCTTGCTGTCTCTCGACTGAGGTCTCACTACACACTGCCAAGGCTGATTGTCAGTCATATATGATCTAGAAAGATAATGAGTTACACAGTATGACTGGAGCCCAAGTTATAGCACTTGGACCTTACTAATCAGTCACATAGTCATGGAAAGTTCAGGTGGTGGTCAAGCAGAAGCGCTTATGATACCTGATAACAACAATGAATCACCAAGACATTATGTGGAAAACACAAATATCAAGTGAAACATGCACGTGTCACAAGGTGTATTTGACTACAGTGTTTTCAGTGTATCACACTTCCCACTTTCCCTTCTCCCTGGGACTCCTTCCCAATCTGATCCCCAGCATCTGCACTTCAGTTGTACTGCACAATGGTTTGAGCAATGATCAGAACCAGCTAAAAAACAATCAGGCAAAATAAATTAATTAATATCCAGTAGCGTAAACTGTAGCGTAGACAGCCTGATAATTCTGCTCTATTACATTGTGTGGAAACTATTACAATCTTATTAGCAAAGAATACAAATCAGGTGCTTTAATGGCATTTTGAAGATGTGCCTTTAAATACTACATCAACTATTTAATTTTGCAAGGATCAGAAGGGAATCATAATGAAGCACAGTATGTCCCTCAGCCTTGGAATACAAATATATTACATCTGCTTCCAACGTGAAGGAAGAGAGAAGACTCTTCAATTTTCTTACAGAATAACTTGAAAATAATTATGATGCAAACAAAAAATATAAATTGTTCCCAATGAGCTGTTGAAGAATGGATTTTTTAAAACTTACAAACTACTTCTGGCCTTCCTTTCCCCTCTTTTCTTTTCAGTCCTAATCTTGCCAAGCCTCACAAATCCACTGAGCCTCAAGTATAAAAATATTTGTTTTCCATTAAATGTGTCTATCAATGCTTTTAACAACAAGAGTAAACTACAACTGAACTTGTTTTTAGGAGTTGGAAGAGCAAAGGTCTGCATGATATTCTCTTGTCCCTGCCAGTCACCAATGCTCTCCTCTTCATAGTGACGCACACATTTGTATTTATAATGGTGCATTCCCAACTCATTGGGAAGGAAGGCCTGGGGATTCCCCAGAACAGAGGAAAGCACATTAGAGCTTCTCAGGGACAGGAGTTTTCATGAGTTATTAGGAAAGAGGAGCAGGCACTGTATCTTATATAGATCTTTGACAAATCAGTTGAACAAATGACCTCCTTCAGAGGTTCTGGAAGTCACTTCTGAAAGGCCTCTCCACAGAGCCTGATTCAAGGTGAGGAATACAGCAGAGCTGCCAGTGTATTGACAGTACGTTTAATGAGATAATTACTCTGTCTTGTTTGCATAATGATTATTGGCTTAGAATATCTGCAGCCCAGAGGGAAAGGAAAAAAAAAAAAAAAGCATTTCTGTCTGCCATGTCTGCCTGGCCAACAGCAAAAGCAACACAAAGGCCACCTGGGCACCATGATGCAGAGTAGAAGAGGAGATGGGCTGGTCACAGCCAATGCTGGCTCCTGCAGCTGCTGTTCTGCCAAGTCTCAGAGTTTCTGCAGTGCAAGGATCTCTAGCTCTCAGTCTCTTCTTGCTTTTAGAGGTCTCCATGTCCTGCTCAGCTCCAGACAGGATGGCAGGGGCAGCTGGAGCGGTTGTGTGGTGCAGCTGGGAGGTGAGAACACACCTTGCACCAAGGTCACTGGATGCAGCCCTGGCTGGCAGGCTGATGTCCTGAAAAGAAACTGAGAAGTTTTATGGAGGGAATGAAACTCTGTAGTCACCTAATCTGAGCTGCACTTCGCCATACTTCTCAACCCTACATGGAACTAACTGTGCTGGGTTTCTCTAGTTATGCCCTATCCGGTGATCTAGATGTGGTCATAAATTGGACATAATTTTGAATAGCTTTTTTCTTTTAATCTGAAGTTCTACTAGATTATGTCCTAGAAAGATTAAGAAAAAAAAAAGGTTTTTAGTAGTCACAGCATCAGAGCTTGCAGAATTACCAAGTGTTTGTTTCACCATGGCCCCTTAAGTTGTGTGGGAATTCTTTTAATAAGCCTTCAGCTCTGGATCTGCTCTCATACTCCAAACTTTAAAGCCGTTTGTCAACAAGCATGAAGTTTTACTTTATACTCTCTGCACAGGAACTAGCGTTTCTTCTAAAAAGTTTGCTTGGAAAAAGCAAAAGTTATGCCTCTGGAATAAGCCCCTGCTGTTTTTACACCCAGAGATGTGGTGGATGCTCCATCCTTGGAGACATCCAAGGTCAGGCTGGAGGAGCTCTGAGCACCTATAGCTGCCCCTGTTTGTTGCAGGGATTTGGACTAGATGACCTTTAAAGGTCTTTTCCAACTCATGGTCCTATGATGAAACAGAGATGTGCTATGACCCAGCCTACTGCCTGAGCCGTGCACCAACTTGGATGGCACAGCTGCAACTGTCACACTCATTTTTATTCATGGCTGCTGTTCCTTAGGGCAGATGTAGAAAAAAAGTAGAAACTACCTGTGAGCTAAAGAATATACAAATTTGGATAATGCGATTACCAAAGGGCAATAAAGTTTCAGTGGATTTACAAGAGATCCTATTGAAAAATGAATACTCAGAAGTGATGACAGACATAATTTCACAGTTCCTGTGACAAAGGAGAAACTCTTGTTATGCGTACAGATCTTATCACCCCTCTAAATTATGTATTCATTGTTCTGAGAGGGAAGAGTTTCTCCTCTTTTCCTGCAGCATCTCTGCCTTACGTCTCAGTACCTAGCTGCTCATCTGACCTAGCAGACCAAGAGGAAGTGATTTCAACCAGCAGATCTAACAAGTAAAAGCCATACCTGAGATAGCTCAAGAGGCTGACTAATGGCCATTGAACTTCCCATTTCTAGTTTGCTAGTTGATGATGCTAGCCAGATATTACACCTATCACAAAACTCTTTCAGTGGAGTTGATGGGGTAATGTTCCATCTTTCTAAAGAAAACCCTCAGTGCCCTGACACTGACTCCAAGTAAATGCTGAGGTCTACATGGTTCATTGACACTTTTATTTGTAGAAGTTATCTTGCCAAACATTGTCTTAAACACACTACCATCCAACAAACCCTATTTTTTTTTTTTTTTTCAAATGAAGTCTATATCTAATAATGCTTCAGTGTCTTGTGTCAATTGGTCATATCAACTTAGAAAACAAATCACAAGTTTAAAACAGTCTCCCTAAGGCAAGAGAGACTAGCTCTTTCTGTCAGGATGAAGATTAGTAGATAAAACAGGAATTTGATGCTCATGCTCAGAAAGGCCTGCTCTAGAACCTGATGGCAACTAACTAGATGCAAGATTCATGTGCTGAATCTCCCCTACACCTGGCAGCATGGCACTGCTGGTTATCCATATGTCTGACACTGAGAAGTGTAATCCTGCTGGAGTGGTGTGAGGGCTGACTGCAGCAGTACATTCAGAGCGTTTAAAGAATTGCACTGTTTGAATGAAAGCGAAGAAAAATCACCTTCTGAAGCCTCAGTCCACTGTAAAAACAAGACCTCATCAAGATCTCCTAGCCTGGCCCCACTACATTAAAAACAACATTGTATCCTTAATGTGATAGGGCTTAGCAACCACTGGCTTCCATGAAGGGTGTTAAACTTAGCGAAATCAACCAAAATCAAGCAGAACAAGCTATTTACAGACAGCTAATCAAACACGCAGAAATCTAAAATTTAGGTTTAAGCAAATGATGTAATCTCCCTTCTCTCTGCCTGGCAAATGAAAGGTTTGTAAGACCACATCAGGGCTATCTTCCAAACACCATTCTCTCTGATTCCCCCATTGCTTAGACATTCCCAGTTCACAAAACAGCTCCTCTTTGATGCCAAGGTGGACCTGCCACACAGAGCCTGGTTTCCCTCCGTGGTGCCTCATTTGTTGTCATCAGCTGGCAGGGCACGTACCCTTCAGTTAGCAAGCACGAGCTGTCATGAACATCAAGCTCCACAGGAAATCATGCCGGTGTCCTCCTCAGTTCTACACAGCCATCTCCTGTTCTTCCAAGAGACCTGCTCCTCAGGGATGACAGTGACACATGGCCTTGGTGCAGATGGTAGAGCTGCTACCCTGACAAGCTGCCAGATACCTTGGTGTTCTGTTTGTTAATCTAACTTTATTTCGCTTCCAACAGGGCAAAATGTCGGGCACTCTTGTTGCAGTCTCATTTCTTTTGTTCTCATTTCTTGGCATACAGTTTTCTTGGAACTATTTCAGGGTTAATGGACATTGGTCCAGGGCCTTTACTAAATGTTGGCAGGAACATTTTCGTCCTTTTCCTTGCTCTCGTGATTCTGTTGAAGCATAGTCAGATATGCCATGATATCATAAGAATGTGAAGAATGACTCTTCAATCTCCAAAAACAATTTTGTTTGGTTTTGCCACGTCTAAGCTCCTTGTGATCTTCCTACTAACCTATTTGGTAAAGTACATTTTTTAAAAAACGGCATACTGTGTTCAAAGAGAGAAAACAAAAATCACCACAGTTCATCATCATTACACTCATCTAGAATAGATGTGTTGGAAAACTGCATTTTATGAGATGTCGCTCTCTTGTTACTCCAGATCAAGCAGAAGTTCTGCTAAATGTGACATGTTCATTTGAGTACTACATCCACAGCAGGTAATATTCCTCATTAAGAATTTACATCCCAAACGTAGGGCAAGACAGTTATAAGTCCTAGAATACGGGATTGCTCTGTGTATTGATTCTGGCCTTTAGGACAGCATCTAACTCAGATCAGACAGGTCTTCTGAAGTGCTGTATGTTCCTTTCCTGGGGTCACATATATTACTATCATATTACTGGCTGAGCATGTTTGTTAACCAGACGTAGCCTTTTCCATCTCTCAGTTACACATCACATAGTATTATCATTCTTTGACAAGTAATTTTCACCAGACCAGTAGTCACTAGTTATTTGGTGTATTAAGGCCATTCCTCATTTACAGTGAAGGAAACCTCCCTCAGTTCAATTTCAGCCTAGTGGCATTCTGTCACTTTCACCTAAGATCACTTAAGCTAATGACACCACTATTTGACGAGTTCAGCTTTTCCAGGGCACAAAACTTACGTGTTTGCACAACTTACAGCCAATCTTATCATCAGTAGGATGGTTGCAAATACTGTGTGCTTTCCAAACACCAACTCTGGCTATAAAAAAAAGAGTTCTTCATGCTTTCACAGCATGAAGCATTACGGATCCTCAGTCTTTCAGGGTCTGCTACATGTAAATGCTACCATCTTCTCCAATTTATCCACAGGTTCCTTTCAAGAAAATGCAGATATGCCTCTTCGTTGCTTTCAGTTCTTTTCTCTCCTACTAGAAAGCACAGAGCTTCTTGATGTCCTTTTTGCTCCACATTTCATTGATTTCTTATATTATACAATTAATGTAAAGCACACTGGAGGCCTCCTAAGAGGATGGCTTCACTCCTACGTACCTGTCCCAACATCCATGATCCTCCTACTCTACAGCAGAAGTCAGTCTCTGTTCACAAGCTATTTTAGTTAGCATTCCCTCTGCTACCATAGTCCCTCAGCTCACCAGCATGCATGAGAAGACAAAGAGTCCTTAAATCCTTAATTCAGCTCTGCTTCACCAGTGCACAGGGCTGGAGTCAATCGGCTCAACAGGAAGCCTGTGACTCAGCAAGCAACAGGATCTGCAGCGAGTGTCTGCAGAATGCTTCCCTCTGTCACAGGAGCTGATGGACCCAGCAGCCAAGCCAGCTTGGCACAGAAATGGAAGTACATCAGTAATACAGGACCGCAAAGGTGATGACAAAAAAAATTGTGAGACATAGGTGGGAAATGCAAGAAACACTGGTTGTGGGGCTTGGGGTGGTGAGACATGAGGGAGACGGAGTGTTGTTGGAGAGGAGGTGAAAAAGAAAATGAAATGATTGAGTAACAAGTAAAAGGATGTGTTAAAAATAAAGGATGGGAGGAAAGAGAGTAACTATAGAGGAAAATTTTAGAAAATGGGGAGAAAAAGCAGTTAGATCCTGGACTGGAACTACAGGGACCAGAGAAACAGGACTACTGTAAATGTTTCTCATAAGAAATAGCAACAGAGAAACAGACACTTATGTGCAGAGAAAACCCAGGTGTAAGGATGCAATCACAGCACTAAAAAAGAGTCACTTGACTGAAGAAGAGTCAGAGATACTGTATTTACTGAAGTAAAGGCCACCTTCCCTCACTTAATGCACATCCATTCCAAACCTAGCAGTTGCTCGCTACTGCCAAAGGATGCAGCCATTACATTACTCACAACCATTTTGTGAGCAAATACAGCTCTAACCAGACAGAAAAAATGAGCACCGTTTCTTTCAGCTCTCAAAAAGCACCCAGAGAATTAGCCAAAGGGACATTGATAAATCGTCAGAATGTACTCCCACAAAAACAGCTACCTCACAGAACTAACCCGTGCACTTAGAGCAAGCATTTCATACTATTAAATTCACAGCTTAAATGTGCTTCCCAGAAAGTCTTCACTCAGTCCCAATGTGTCTAGACTTTCAGATTCACAAACTTTGCACGAATTTGGTTCCTTCCACGCTGTCTCTTCCACCCCTTTAGAAAGTACTATGAAACTGGACCAGTGCTTTTAAAACCACGAGCCTGGCTTTTCTGAGAAGCCTCCAGTCTCCTCTGAACAATATGCAAAGCAAACTCAGGGAGGGAACATGAGAAAAAAGAGAAGTCTTCTTTCCTCCTCCTCTTTTTTTTTTTTTTTTTTTTGCCTAAGACTCACCAAAACAAGAGTCTAGTATTGAATATTCAGCACTGAATACTAACTGCTCAATAGATGGTCTGTTTGCAGAGCTCAAAGTGGAAATGACCCAGCAAGGAGAAGAGGTGAACACGCTGCTCCATCCATGTGATTAAAACGCTCTGCAAAAGCAGTCCTCCCCAGTTCTCCCCACCTCTATTCAATGGAGGCCATTTGCTGCCCCTACCACAACTCATTAAAAAAAATGTTTGCATTAGAGGGGCCCCTGCACAAGTATTGTCCCCATGGCTCTGCGCTTAGGAATGTTAGCTCTGATGGTGTAAAACCTGTGCTAGCCAGCCTGCGTGACCAGTGGTACCTGTTATTGCTCCACTCAGGAGAAGGGGGAAGCAGAGGGTATACCTGCTCTCCACCTGCAGGAAACATGGAGTGAATTTCTCCAGCAACTGTAGTGCTCTGCAGCAGGTCTTGGAGGCCTCTTTTCAGGGCTCTTCCCTGAAGACAGCATCCATTCTCACCGCTTACCCCAAAGCCCAGAAGTAGCAGCCTTTAACAGACATTGCACACATTCCACAGGCCTACTGTAGTTAGTGCAATAACTCCTACTTCAGGTCTCTCCTATGGGATGTCCATCCCACCCACTTCAGGCACGCTTGCTGCTTGGGCTAGGTCTGATGTGCAGAGGCCTGGAGCTGAAGCACCATGCCAAGGGCAAGGAAGGTTGAGGAGAAGCCTGCTGCATCTAGCTATGGCACGAGCCAGTGTACCTGAAGGAAGCTCCATCCCTGGAGGCATCCAAGGCCAGGTTGGATGGGGCCCTGGTCAGTCTAGTGGATGGCAGCCCTGCACAGAGGACAGGCATTAGGTTGGAACTAGGTGGGCTTTAAGGTCACTTTCAACCCAAGCCATTCTATAACTCTATGAAAGCCCACCACACAAGCAGGAAACTCTTCTCACAGAGTGGCAGGTCATTGCTGGGCCCAGACACAGCACCTGCAGAGCAGGACTCTGTGTCCACATTTGCTTGCACCACATTTTTATGGCCTATATCAGGTCACTGTCTCTTGAGGAGCAGCCAGGGATTTTGTTTCGTTGTGTTGGATTTCACTTTCCCCTGAGCACTGAAGATGGCAACAGCTACAAGTGGGGTACCTACAGGTTATACTGGAAAAAGCTGACATTAAAAACTCATTTGCTTAATTAGGACATCCTGCCTTATCAGCAAAAACTGAATGTCAGATAAGGTGGAAATCACATAAGACAGCTTCTTGATGATTATGTTTTCCTCTGAAGGACAAGACTGGGCCTACTTCCTATGCCCAACCTGGAATTTTATTCAATGAATGATCTGTTTCTGCAAGATCCTACAATGTTAGAAAAAACACACAGCCTTTCCTGCTGGTCCTCTGACATGGGGAAGCTTTCAGTCTTGTAGGAAAGCATCATGGGTTGAGGAAAGGATGACACACGGGGCCTTTTGAGTGAGGTAAGCATCCCCCACTAGGGAGGTCCAGAACCCAGGACACAGGGGTCTCACACAGTGCTGGATGCCACCACCTCCTGAGTCCCCATCAGTGAAGTGGACTCTTGTCTGTGCTGCCCTTCCTCAGCTGCAACTGAGGGTGTTTTAACACTCTGATTTATCCCGTTACCACTGCAGTTAGTTTTGTGCATATTTACATTTCTTTCCCACTACCTTCTAATTTTCTTTACTACTGTATTTTTTTTTTTAAATCTGCTTTACAAATTTTACACAAGCAGCTCATACCTGCCACAGAGAAGATGGTAATTACACTGTTTGGTTGACTTAGTGGTCTCACGTGCACGCTTACATGCAGGTAAGATATTTTTCATACAATGAAATGAGTTCTGTTCAATCCAATGCAATTTTAAGTCTTGTCCCAAATAGCCAAGCCAGTGAAAATAGCTACAAAGAAGAAAACAGGATAAAGAAAGCCTGACAGTAATTCTCTAAGCAGGTTTTAGAACAGAAGTTCTAAAGTTTTAGAACAGAAGAAAGCAAAGCTGAGCAACAAGTAGCAGTTTTATGTCTAGAGGCAGCATTCCAGAAAATGACAAGAGTCATTTAGACAACAGTCTAAACCTGTAGTCCTTACTACCAAGGCAAATCTCCTTATCTTCTGGATACGATAAGGAGTATCAACAAGTAAATGAGGATCCCTGAAGAAAAGGATTTCGCATTTCTAAGCGTTTGAGTTCATACCCATAGGGCTCACAAGCAGCAGGAAATTTACAGAACGCTAACCACTGCATGCCTAGAAAACATGAGAAGTCCCATTATACATCTCTGGTCTGCTGCTCTCAAGTTATTGCCTCAAACTACTCATGCTGTACGTTTCAGAGAACTTTCACAAGCTGCTCCAGCTGTTGAAAATGGACTGTTTCCCATTACCATAATATTTGAGATCCTGAGAAAAAAAATGCTCAGGATAAGCTGCTAATTAATTGTGAACCTGTCATTCATAGCTGCGAATCATCCACTTGGTTGCTGTAACAAATTCCATTTTAGAGAAATTAAGTTCACTTACCAATAAAAGGGAACAAAGTGCTTAGCTGTAGCTGAAGGGAATGAGACAGCGCTGAACCCTGCATTTCAGCCTTGAGACAATTTAAGCTGCAAATGAGCTTTTCCTTCGTTACTGGATGCAGCGAGAGCCAAGGTTCTATTTAACCCTCTCCACATTTCCTGATTTCAAGTTTATCAGAAAAGCAGGAATGGGTCAAAGTACTTCTAACATAGTATTTAGGCATGGAGAACACGGAAGCAGGGCTCCTGCGGCAAGCTCTGCCACTTACTAAGCCCCATCTCTAGCACTGGCTAACATTTTGCTTCTAATAAACTGGTTGGTTTTTTTTTTTCTGCTTGCCTCCTGGGAGAAAATAAATGGGAAAGAAGACAGCCCAGGACTGTTAGTTATGCGTGTGAAATAGAGGCAATTAAGTTATTACACATTTGCTGCCATTAGGAGGGCTCATCATGAGCTGACCCTGCACACCTGCCCTTTGGGGCAGCCACACAGGGACTTTCAACAGGTGCTTCCCACAGGGAGGAATTGCAGCATTGGGATTTCCGATAGCAAACTGTATCACAGCTTTAAACACGAAAACTTCCACATGTATGCACAAGTGTGCAGGATCGAGCAGACATGCATAAGCATGTTTTAATACAAGCATAATAAAAAGCTTACAGAGGTCTCCATTCCTTCATCGACACCACATTCTCTTCCTGCTCTTGCTATCTATGGGATCGCTCAGCCATCAAATACCCTTTATGCTATCCATCCTCCTAACCCGGGTGTCAGCAATGCGATCGCCTCGGCCGCCGGGCTGCTGGGCTCCAGCAGGGCCGGATCGTACGGGGCATTCATTTCTAGACACAATGAAACCAATGGAAAATCCAGCGCAGATGCGGGGAAACGGACAAGCGGGTGAACTCGGAAAATTCGCAGACCTCCGGGCTCACGGAATTGTGAGCTAATTATTTGGACTTTAATGTCACATCAAGTATCCCCCAAAGGACTGACCCTATATTTGTATTGGTTACACGACAGCCCGCTGCGGCTCTCAAGGCTTTGTTACAAAGCCCCACGCCCTGGCTGTATTTAAGGCCGCCTCTTCAAAAGTCCCCATGTGAAGAGGCACTAATGTTTCCCCACCGCACGCAGCCCGGTGCTCCCACGATGTCATCTATTTTACCGCA